AGTACAGAACAACTGGATGTGCTAACCTTGGAGATACCCTAACAGGAACAGTATTAACTGCTGAAGGGGGCCACTGAGAACAAAGGCATATGTAAGAAGTTCAAAGATTAAAACTCCCCAACGTCAAGGGTATAGGCTTTACACTTGTGGATTTGAACCTGAGGTAAGCAATTCGAGGTAGTATCTTGGTATCAAAACAGAAAATGAAATGACAATAAAATATCAATCTCATGATTTCTGGTGCTTTGAATAGACAGCCCCATAGATAGAACCACTGGAAGTTAGAACACAGAATGTTTAAAAAGAAAAAGAAAAAAAGCCTCCAAGTGGGAACAAATGTCCTGTTATAAGAAATACAAAATAAAGGCATGTGGAGATCGCCTCCAAGACGGCTGTCACGAATTGTTCCCTTCCTGTCTGCGCACACCAAACCCCACCAAGGCTATTCCTTCCTTCCCCTCAAATCTAGTCTGGCTTTAGTGACTTGACTGACCAGTAGAATAAGGTAGAAGAACATCCCAGAAGCCAGGTCCTAAGAAGTCTCTCAGCTTCCACTTGGGCCTTTTGGTACTATCTCCTTTGGAAAGTTCCTTCTGGGGGCACCAGGCACTATGTAAGACATCTGACTCTCTCGAGCTCCCATACTGCGAGGAAACGCAAGGGAGCACGTGGAAAAGTCCTAGGAAGAAAGAGAGAGAGCGGAATCCGCTGGCAGCCCAGTGGTCAGGACTCCACGTTTCCACTGCCAAGGGCCCGGGTCCAACCCCTGGTCAGGGAACTAGGATCCTGCAACCTGTGCAGTGCAGCCAAAGAAAGGAAGGAAGGAAGGGAGGAAGAGGAGAGAAAGAGAGAGAGGGGAAGAGAGAGGAGGAGAAGGGAGGGGAGGGAAAGGAAATATATCCCTGTCTGGCCCTATTCTACCCATCCCAATCCACACAGCACACAGGTGAAGGAAGAAGGCCCCCTGGGCGTTCCATCCCAGCAAAGGTGTTAAAGAGACAAACTAAGGAAGTGAACCCCACCAGCAACTCACACCAATGCCCCAGCCTCGCCATCCCACCCAACTCAAGCCACCGGAGGCCCCAGTCATCGTGGAATGCAGATCAGCAACCCAGCTCTGCCCTGGCCGAACTCCTGACCTGCAAGGCCATGAGCAGGACGAAAGGATCGCTGTTCCGTGTCCCCAAGTGCTAAAGCAGCGTGTCATGCAGGAATAGGTAGCCAGGACGGCCACGATCATCTGAAGTCGCTATTTCTGGTCTGGATCAGTACTTTCAAAACGAATAACTCACTGTGCTCTAAAAGCTGCTTCAGGAGGCAGAATATTCACATGTTCCACAGAAGCCAAGTCAAAGCTGAGACACCAAGTTTTTTCACTTGCTGTACTGCGCTCTGCGAAAGCAGGAGAGCAAGTAAACCAAGTTTCACAGATCGTTTTAAGGAACAAAGAAATGGAAGCGATACTTACGAACCTGAGCTCTGAGACCTAATCATGAAACATTAAAGACCATTAAAATCATGCAATCAGCAACTCATTTAAGAAACGAAAGTTTCTCACAATCTGTTTTAGTTAATCTGTCCAACTTAACACATGAGATGAAGCAGTTTTGCCAACACAGTCTGTGTTTCTGATTTTCTAAACTTACCCTACCTCTGACCTTTATGATTAAAATCTAATTAAAAATATGGTTATTTTTAAAAGGTAGAGATGGAGTAATTGTCTCATCTATTAAAGTTATGACTAATTGTTAACCTACTTAACTTGCTGATTCACTGCCATGCCTTTCATTTCAACCTTTTTCAAAGCAAGGTCCAAAAAATTTCAGATTGCAAAACAAACTCTGCTGAAAAAAATATGCAATTCACTTTCACTGCATGATCAAAACAACTGGAAAGACTTTTACAAATTTACAAGAGTCTAATCTTCCAGAATTGGGAATTAACTGAGTCTCTGATTCATTTACCCAACTTTTCAATTTAATCAATTAGCCAAAAATTTTATTTAACAACTACTATGTGCCTATCTTTACACTGGGTGCTATGAAGGAACACAAAAGTATTATATGGCGTTGTTCATACTTGGGATCTTGAAATCTAGTTGGGAAAATAAAACTTGTGAATACAGACAAATTCAATGATAAGAGAGATCTGCTTTCTTCCAGGAATATAACTCACCCATAAATAGACAAGGAAAATCATATACGCAGATAACAATCTTCTAATCCACTGAATGCCACGAGAATTCTCCCCGTGTTCTATCTGGATACTATCTAACCTTCCCTGCAAGGCTTACAAGAATCCTGAACTAGCGTGAAACAAGTACCTCTCTGCTGTTACCCTGGATTATAGAGTTGCCCATGTGAGAAACAGCCAGCACAGGAATTGCAATGTTTCAGACCTTCTTCCTGACATTTGATTTGGGGCTCAGATGTGGACCCGCCATGTTCTCTGTCCATGGTCCTCAGTATAAATTTCACGTCTGTTCTGAACAGTCATTAGGACCTCTGGTCTATCTGGTTTCATCTCTTCAAGAGGATGACTCAGTATCTCTTTGATGGGGCTCCCAGGGGGTCTCCAATGTTAATCATGTGTGGGCCACATAACTGCATTTGAAGCTAGAGCAACACAGATATGCTGTGCAAATCTGGCAGAACAGTTCACAGCCATCCTCGTATAAAGCACTGACAAATGCAACTTTACTGCTTCATTTCACTTATTAAGATATAGAAAGCATTTAGGAAGGGCTAAGTATATTTGAATCACGTTGGCTTCAAAAAAATTAGGGAAGTCTGAGTATTATCTCCTCCAATAATGTCTTCTTTTTTTAAGAGTGACTGCTTCCAGAGAAGTCATAAGCACAAGGTCAAAAAAGAACAGATAAAATGGTATTGCTTTGATGCTCTTCAAAATACCATCTGCCTTGTGTCCACCCCCTTGGTTCAGGGACCTCACACACAGCCCCCAATGTACTGATGTATTTCCTAAAACAGCCAGGACTCTGCTGAACCCCACCATCCTCCCTCTCTCTCTCTACACACACACACACACACACACACACACACACACACACACACACACACACACACACACTCTCTCTCTCTCTCTCTCTCTCTCTCTACCACTGAATTAATTTTTTTCTTTTGAAATACCTCACCTCAGACTCTCACCATTACCTCAGATTCTTCTGATAGGAGACAGAAGATAGACACCTTAGGAATGTCAAAATACTTTACTGAATTTTTTTACTTTTAATGCAACTCATTATAACATATTTCAGGATTAAATGTTCCAAAGCCAAGACAATGGAGAAAGAGAGAGAGAGGAAGAAAGAGGGAAGGAAGGAAGGAAGGAGAAAAAGAAAGAAAGAAAGAAAAGGTCACCAATCCTTCAACAACATCTGTAAACTTACAGAGAATCAGAGAATTTACATTTTTCTCATCTGTCTCATCTAAAATTTTCCGTGTGGATTTTAGGTTTGTGAAAGAAAGCTTATTTTTGAGGCAACACCCCCCCAAACTTATCCATGTAAGCCTCTCAAGCAGACACTTTGTTCCATGAAAGTATTTTATTTGAAGCACAGGATTTGATTCTTTGACTTGACCTATTGCCACTTGCTTTCCTCATCTCCTCCTTTCCCACTCTCTCGCTAAAACAAACTCTGAGTGTCCAATCCTTCATGATTCCTGTGGGAGCATTCACTGACCGGGACCATCCCTCATCCCACCCATTTTCCAAGTTGAGCTGTTTCTCTGCACCCTTTGGGGTAAGATTTGAGTTAAGAAAAGTGGTCTAAGTCATCAAGCATCCTCTATTGCTTCTTTAAGGGTTATTTCGAGATGTCCTGGGTACCTCACCCTGGTTAGGCTATGATATCTGAGACATTTTCCCCTTCAAATCTAAACTAATAGAGAGTTTTTTTTAAAAAAGAATGGGTCAACATTCCAGAGAGGCTCTTGTTTTTCCCCAACAGGTCTGCCCATCCCTACAAGCTGCATTTTTGTAAGAACAGTCCCCAAGTGAGTCACGGCAACAGAAGAAACAGAGAGTTTCTCAATGCGAGACAGGAAGAATCTTTTTACTTGAATTTGCATGTTGTTTATATTTTCAAACAGGAACTGGAAGAAAGGGTTTCACTCTCATTGAGCCTCTCCAGTCCCGGGTTCTTTCGAAGCCTTGCTGTTTGTTCCTTCCCCTCGGTGGTGAGTGCTTGGATGGGCTATGACTCAACTTCCCTTGCTCTCATCTCACTCACTCTTTCATCCATCTTCCCCGACTTGCCAGGAGGAGAGTCTTTGCCAGCGTTGATTCCAAACTTCAATTCTAACGACATCTCTCTACCAATCCCTCCCCATCTTGCAAAGTCCAAGTTTCCACCCTTCCAAAGTTCTTCATAACCCTGCCCCATTCTCTGTTCCTCCCCTTGCACGTCACCACCTCATGTAACCTTCCTCGTGTCCTTTCTCTCCTCTTTCCTAGAAAAATGTTTCTCTAAAATGCCTCATTCTCCTCCCCTTCAGTATTTGGCCTCCAGGTCTATAAATAACCATTGTGAATTTCACCTAGACTCCTTCTCAGAGGAACCCGTTTGCCTTCAATTACTACATTTTTACACATGATTTGCCTAGTGCACAACACACTGCCTGGGATGGGTAGTCTTCCCATAACTCTTGATTCAATAAATGAGTAACTCATGTTGGTCCTCGTTGCTGCCAGTTGTATTAACAATAACCTTCCTTGGGTTAAGCATAATGCGAACCCTGACTGTGTGTTCTGGTTTGGTCCTGCTGCCAAGATCAATGCATGATGAACGCATCTGACATCTTATTGCGAGGCATGGCTGTGTAGTAGCCCAGGAAAGCTGGGAAAGGAGTTCTAGCCCGGCAGGTGTCCATGGGTGGGAGAGAACGAAGGTGGTGGACAGAGAAGCAAGAGGACAGAAGGAAAGCAGCTTGGTGGGAAAATGACTAAATCCAAAATTATCATAACATTCAGTCTCATTATAGGGAAGTGACCTGTACCCAGTTTGCAAGATGAAGCCGAAGACATGTAACACAGAGGAAGCCCTATGTGGCAGCAGGTGTAGAAGCCGTATTGATGGAACAGAGGAACTGCAGTGGCAGAAGTACAGCCTGAGGAAAATTCCAGGTGGTTCAAAACGGAAAACGGAGTAAGGAAGCCTTGTAGGTTATGCTGGAGTGATGGAACTGGACCTGACATTTATTTAAATACTTCCTGGGTCAGGATTAGTCAGGGCAATCAAGTGAGACGGGCTCTCTAGATAAGAAGATTTAAGTCAGTCCACCTTTGAAACTAAGAAACCCAGAGGGAGGAAAAATGAGAGAGAGACTGACAGTAACTTCAAAAAACGGGTCGTTTTATTCCTTGGGCTTCAATTTCTTAATCTAGAAAATGGAGAATGCAGTGTTTGCCCTTTGGCCCAGTTGGATTGTTTTGAGTCTTACATGAGAAGGAGGTGAAGAGCCACTAAAACCCAAAAGATAAATTATTATTGTTGCTATTATTTTCTGTTTGGGATCAAAAGTTTCCATGAGCTCAGTCTAGGAGTTAACGCACTACTAAACACTATCTTTAACAACTGAAGACACCACACGTGAAATACAACGTACCAAAAAGCAAGCAAAAAAAAAATTACACGCACCTTTCAACACGTTATTATAAAACAGGCTTTGGGGTAGACGACTTTGCCCAATTGTGGGCTAATGTGAGGGTTCTGAGCATGTTTAGGGCAAGCCAGGCTAAGCTGCGATGTTAGGAAAAGTACTGGAAAGGATGATCAGGCTCACGGAGCTACGGTTTGGAGACAAAGTTAACATGTTTAACACTTTCGCTACATTCACAGAAGAGCTACGGTCACCATTCAAAATAACACCTCCCATGTACCAGGCAGAGTGCTAGCAGCCTCACCTCCCAATTTCTTTCAATCCTCACGAAAGCCCCAGCGTGTAGGTATTATCATATATGCTCTTCAAGTGGAGAGGTGACTCAGCTTGCCCAAAGCCATACTGACCATCTGGCTGCAGGACTGCCTGATTTCAGCGACACTGCTGTTCCCACTAATCCAGTCCTTTTCAAAGCTTTGTTATTTTAACAGAACACTTTTTCTTTTGTCCCCACTAAACGCTACTCAGAAATCCAATATGAAGCAGCGGAGCTGTTCTTCTGAAGTAGGGGTGAGCGGTGTGGGGGGGGGAGATTCCAGCTCCTTTGCTTCTTCCCCACACAGTCCTCACCCCCAGAGACACTTCCAAGGCTCCCTCGGCATTCCTGGAACACAGTCGGGAAGTTTGTATGTCACCGTGCCTCCCTGCCCACTTTTTAATGCCCACCGAGAACGCAAGGGCCATCCAACTGAAAGGAGGAGGGAAACAGGCTTCAAAGAGCAAAGCGCTTTTCAGATAGCAGTTTGTTTAAACAAACGTGCATCTCTTCACATCAGTTCTGACGGTATCCCCCGCGGGTCATTTAGGAGACGTTCACTCAGTACCTGTCATGCACCGAGTACGCAATCAGGCCGATTACTGCTCTTAGGCATTTCATAGGAAAGGGATGCAAGAGAACACAACTCGGTGTGTGGCCTCCTGAGACCTGGTCCTACAAGCTCCGGCGGCCGTTTAGCTGCCCCGTGGTCTCAGGAAAGTCACCAGCATACGGAGCCTCAATTTCTCATTTGTGACAATGAAACAAGACGTGGCGGGGTCAGGTTCTGAGTGAGGATTTTCTCATTTCTAGAGCCCTCTGTATGTGTGGAGAACCTCCCCAGCTTTATTCATCTCTACTCCCCAGTCCAATTCTCTGTTCCAGCCAAAGTACACGAACCCCTAAATGGGGTTTTGCTATTTCTTTTTTCTCCTTTTGGTATACATGGTCCCGCCTCGGGGTGTGCTAGTAAACACTTAACAGTAGTATGATTTTATCATCATTATTATTTTATAAGAGTTGACTGAGAAACTACAGGGCTCCAGGCTTCCGCAGGCACCACGGCAGAAGCCATGTAGAATTCCAAGAGCTGACGTCCTTCTTCGCCTGGATTCCTCACATGCGCTTCCCAAGTCTCCGCTCAGCTGTCACCCTTTCTAGAAAATCTTCCCCCCTTGACTGGGAGTTTGGGGTTAGCAGTTGTAAACTATTATATACAGGATGGATAAACAACAAGGCCCTACTGTGTAGCACAGGGAGCTATATTCAATATCCTGTGATAAACCATAATGGAAAAGAATATTAAAAAAAGAATGTCTCTATGTTTATAACTGAGTCTCTTTGCTGTACAGCAGAGATGGGCACAACACTGTATTGATAAATCAATTATACTTCAATTTACAAAAAATTAAATTAAAAAAAAAAGTCTTCCCTCATTGTAACTCCTGAAGGGGGTTCCAATGTGCTGAACCACTGCTGGACACCAGAATCCCCTAGGGAGCTTTATTTTTACTATGTATTATTATTATTATTGTAAGGACACTTGACATGAGATCTATCCCCCTAACAAACTAATAAGTGCACAACACCATGTTGCTTGTTATAGGCACCGTATCGTACAGCAAATCACTGGAATTTATCCATCTGGTAGAAGTGAAACTTTATACTTGTCCAAGGGCAGCTCCCCATCTCCCCCTCCCCTGTCACCAACCTCTAGCAATGCTGTTTCACTCTGACTCCACGAGACACTTCGCTGAAGTGGAAGGGCCCATACTGGTCCTTCTGTGACTGGATATGGTCACTTAGCACACTGTCCCCTAGGTTCGTACGTGTTGTCACATATGGCAGCATTTCCTACCCTTTAAAGGCTGAACACTCTTCCACTGAACGTATAGACCATGTTTTAAAGGGCGTCCCAATCCCCGTCGGGTAGATACTCCACGACGGCCCATGTCTAGCTACCAGTGTGACCCCACTGCAGGCAGCGTTGGGAAAGGCAGCACACCGTGATCGAGGATTCCCACCACCCGGATGCCACAGACATGGACAACCTGGAGGGCACAGAGAGTAAGACAAGGTCGTAAAACTGCCATTAGGAAGTGACCAGTTTTTTTTTTTTATTATTTGTTTGTTTGTTTTTGTCTGAGGCGTGGCATGCAGGATCTTAGTTCCCCGACCAGGGATCGAACCCCAGCCCCCTGCAGTGGAAGCACAGAGTCTTAACCACTGGACTGCCCCAAGTCCCCAAGGAAGTGACAAGTTTTGAGTGTCTCTTACCTCTGCTTGTAATGTAAACTATTTAATTTAATTTTTTATAATGATTCACTCACCACATTCCCTTTCTCTCTCTCTCTCTCTGTCTCTCTCCCTCAGTTGTGTAATCTACTACAAGTCTTAAGTCTAGGTCTCCTATACAAAACAATAATATAAAATCGAAATATCAGAAAAGTCATCTGCTGTAGTGCAAAGAAATTAGTCCATCAACTTGGAGAGACAGAAGACCTGCAGCTTGCAGCTCCATGTACTTGGTTTAAAGTCCCACGATGCTCAATGATTCGAGAGAAAATTAATTCGAGCACCTGACAACCACTGTGGAAACAGTGGCTACACCTATGTCGGTTCTATTACATTAAAATAAAATTAAGACAACAAAGAAGGGCTTTGGGGACATTTCTATGCGTCTGACCATTTCCTAAGGATTTACACAGGTGCTCAATGAATAAGACAAATAAATTTGAGAAAGGAAATATTACGAGTTAAGCAAAAAAAAAAAAAAAAAAAGCAATCTGGAGGTGGTGATAAAAGCATTTTCGAGATCCTGTTCACTTTTTCAACTTTTTGTTGTTGCTGTTAGCCTCGGCTATGGTACCAGCCTACTCCGAGCTAAGTACGCATGGAACACATGAAGTTTCCAGATGAAAACCAGGCTCATACGGAAGAACGAGATATTCAAAATGATATCCTGAGTTTTATTAAAGCAAAACACACTGCAGAACACAAATAATTCTAAGAAAGTAATAGCCATTACCTCACACTAGTCACTCTGCATGATTGAAACTAACAGGGAAATTTCACCAGGAAAAAATTACAGTCATTTTCTGTGTTTGTTTCTATTATTACCTACCTAGGCAGTAGGTTATGAAACAAAGAATTGCAGTAGAATTTGAACAAGAGCGAACTCCCCGTCCACGTTTGCAACAAACAGAAGAGCTTCCACCAACTAAGCAAGTGCTCACGACCAAGTCAAATGCTAAAATGCACATCTGATAAAGAGCCACTGGACTGGGAATAAATAATAATTAGGCAGGAGTCTATGAAAGCTGTAAATAATAACAAGGCCCCACGGGAAACGCTGTCTGACTATATCAACAAACCTTGTCTCTTGGAGCTAAACGATCGAAACCTTTTTCTCGGAACTCAGAATAAAGCACGTTTATTTGGTTTAATGAACTCCCTAAGGATTCGGTGACGACCGCATCTTTCTGTAATACTTTGGTTGCCCTGCTTCTAAGGAAAGGTACCATGATGCACGGCTACCACACCTTCCTCAGATGTGCGCCTTCCCAGGGGCAGGACAGAGGCAGGTGTGGTGGACGAACAGTGCAGGGGCTTATTCCTCTTAAAGCAAAATGGAAACTGACAATAGGAAGAACTCTGACGAAAACATAACAAAACTGCGTTCAGACGGTCAAATAGTAATTGACACTGGCAACAAGGCACAGGCCTCTGCTTAGGAACGCCACACGTTTTTGTGTTTTATCAGCCCAGAACTGCAATCAGGCATCAGGTCCTTTTCTGACTCCTGGAGCAGACTTGATCCTCCTTCTAGGCGCATCCCTCAGGAACACTGAGTGGGAACTTCTCAGTGTCCCTGTCCCTGTCTTACGAGCCCCTCGTTCCCCTCATTTCTGCTGGTAAGCTTCCTGGGCCAGGTGCTGCTTTGGAATTTAAATGTGTTATGGTTTTCGCTGCAGTTGGTGTAATAAGTTGAAGCTCCTCTCCAGGGTCAAAAAAAAAAAGACCAGACTAGTGGGGAGACAGGCGAACACCAGACAAAAATGGAGTCTGGAGTCAGTCAGACTTGGACGCAGGCTACTAACACCATCAGTTACTGATTGGATGACCTTGGCTCTCTTGCCGCCCACCTCCCCAAATACCAACGTACATCACATCTATGCAGTAATAAGTGTGGGTCCCTTGAACTGGACCCCTCAGAGAATAAAGAGAAAACTGTATAACCATCTCCCACTTGCCATTTCTGTAGAGTCCACAGGGTATGACGCAGCCACCCTGGAATGAGAGTGAGAAAAGTATCTGAGCTAGATTGTATACAGTACTATGTCATTCTGTAAAGAATGGGAGAGTTGAAAGTGGTTAAAAGCAATAGTCTGGAACTAAAAATGGAAAGATTGGGCAAGATATTAGAAACAAACCACCACAGCAACCTCCCAAGTCGTAACAAGAATTGGGCAATAGGAGGACGGCCTGAGTCACCGTCAAGGAGAGGAGGCAACGATAGGTCAGAATGTGGATAGAGCATATGCTGGAGAGAGGACAGACGAAGACAGCTTGAGGCTGGAGAGAGGACAGATGAAGACGGCTTGAGGGTGAGGATGTGAAATGGTTTTTCCAATCCCGATCTAGTTTATTTTTATCTCCCTCATGAGATGTAAAATCATTCACATGACAGTTTGATTGAGACCTTATGGGTACCGTTTCCATTGTGCAAGACAGGAATATTTAGGGCAGAAGCTTCCTGCCAAATGGTAACAGAAGATGGCCAGCGTGAGCAAGCGTCGAGCAGAGAGCAGGGCCACAGTTAAGTGAATCTGGGGAGAGGAGGCCACCAGTGTGGATCATCAAAGTCAATGTTTTACTGTCATCGTAAGAATCGCCTCTTGTTTGTATCACTCGTGGCCTTAAGGAGGGAGGAAGTCATAAAAGCCTAAACGTCAGGACTTCCGATCCGTGCCCTCTGGTCTGCAATGTTAGGGCGCCATACAGGGAGTGTCTGCACGTGTCTAAACAAAACCCTTGGGAGTTCTCAGATGCGCCGAAAGCTTAACTGTTTCTACAGCAGGGCCTGAAATCTATGGGAAACTGCAAAGTTCCGTACCTTTGGCTCTCCAGTCGCTAGCTGTGCGTCCTGCAGCATTACTTACGTGGTGTCTACAGCAATCTATATGGGACCTTAAAATCCCTAAAGAAGTCTGAAGGCCAGTGTAGCCCTAGCTTTAGACAATCTGTTCCTAATTCTGCTTTGCCCTCGGAGGACTAGTAAGAGTTTTATAAAAAGGACTGCCATTTCCATGCTGGCCGGCTCAGGCCGTTTAAGCCTCAAATGTATGGTAGAGTGTGAGAAGAATTAGGAGTTATGAAAAATCAGGCCCTCCCATCAACTCCCAGGTACAGGCTGTGCCTCTGTCGGGCAATTTCACAATCTCGTTTGCACATCTGTGTTTGTTTAATGTTTGAGTGCATTTGGATGGGCTTTTACAATGGCTATCTATAAATCCCCGTCCATTAGGCGGACCGGGACTTTCATACGGGGATCCAAAGAACTAATGAAAAGAACATTGTGGTAACAGTTCTCTGTTTATAGAGAGGATCTTTTTTTTTCCCCCAAAAAAAGCTCAAAGTACTTTTCATTAAAACATTACAGCGTGTCTATGAGGTAGGCCGTAGGTTGGAATCAGTAGCTCTGTATTTTATAGGTGAGCAGCTAAGCCTAGAGCCAGCACGACAGAGTCCTTAGGGGACAGAGACAGAAACTGCCAGGCCGACTCAGCTGACACACTCTCCACGCTGTCGCTTAGAAGTGTACAAGCCGGATAAAATGTGAATTTAGGTCAGCTGCAGAGAAAGGAGTACTCAATCTAGCTGTCAAATGCATTTCCCATATGTTTCTATAAAGCGCCCTTCCCAGATATACAGGTTTTCGATGATATTCTAACAATAACATCAAGGACTCTACATTTACCTCTCAAAACCAGAGAGACACCTTTGTATGTGGTAGGGCGACAGACCCGAGAAAAAACCACAAAAATGTGGGAACACCAACAAAATTCTTAAATTTGCCTTTTTGAGGAAGACTGTTAGTAAGACACATTTTATAAAACATATCTGGTGATACTCACCATATGTATGTAAGCGTGTGTGTGTATTCTTAAATATAAGAAAAAAAATGACTTAAGATACAGTAGAAAAGACTTCTGTTTGACACAAGGAAAACTGTTTGGCTACCAGAATGAAAAAAGTCTCTAGAATGAGTCACCAAGAAAGGTGATAGGCAAACCTGCCCCCAAATATCTGCAGAGCTTGAACAATAGTACAGATGAAGCTCGATTTCAATGTTCCCTCCCCCCACTCTGAAAAACAAACCTTCATAATGACAAGATAAGACATGAATAAAGTTAGGGTTATCATGACACTGAGAACTGAGCAAATACCTAAGAGGACTGAGTCTCATTCTTATTATGTCTGGGTGTTCTGTTGATAAGCTGGCACTATCTGGGTAAGTACCAAACTAAAAGCGGGCATAATGTATAACTTATTCTATAGTTATCCTATAGACTTTATTTTTCTTGCTCTCATTTCAGCAAATTCATTAATTACATTATTGTAATAATGATTTTCACCACAATTTATGATGTCCTGAGAGTAGTGACTAAAGGATTAAAACAGAAAATATAACTGTATTCAAAATATATGAATTTGAGTGTATTTTCATTAAAAAAGAAAATGTAAAATATAAAAAAAGAATTGATTTCCAAGAAGTTATTTTTCTTCTAGGGATTTGAAATTCTCTATTAAAATGTAAAAAGAAAACTAAAAATTACAATATATTTTTATAAAAATAAAATTCTTTGCTATTCTGGTATTTGGGATCTGTCCAGCTGGCACTGTAAAGACTCAAGATTACACATCACGCCTGTTATTCACATACACACCAGTGTAAGAGTAATATGGAGCGCTCAATACCGTGAAACATTCCTCAGCTTGCGAACCTTGAGTTCCTCTGGAATCGCAAATTAGTTCGTGAAGAGAGAAAGAAAATGAGTGCTTGGCACTCTTGGGAAACTACACCCGGTTATGCAAAAATCTAGCGCATCCATACTATATAATTGTATATCATATTATTTGACGAGTTAAATAAGTTTGCCTTTCCTTTAAATTAAGCCCTTCTACTGTCCCGATGCTACCTCTGCTGTCAGCACAGGCACGATCCAGAAACCTTCGTGGCATCTGGATACAGTTTCTTTTGTTTTGAGGATATACTGTAAGGATTACGGAGGAGTTTTTCTCTAGGGCTGAAGAATACTGGTCACAAGAGCAGACACCACCAAGGGCTAGGTCCCTAATGACAAAGAAGCCTGTGCGTCCTTGAATAAATTTACTGTGTGTGCACGCGCGCGTGTGTGCTACGTGCGGTCCTCTAAAGCACATGCCCAGAGAGCCCGTCTGCCTGGGTCTCAGGGTGTAACTGGTTACAGGATCTTGGAACCCCAGCGTTCAAGAGGCTTCTTAGAGCCACAGGTGATTCAACTGAGGATGGTTTGGGGACTGAGAGAGAGGAGGATGCCCACATCTTAAGGACTGATTTGTTTTTCTAGTAAATGTTTGGGCAAAAGGCATCTCAGATGGGTCAACCAGGTGGTAGGACTTAAACATCTGAATACAGTTCAGACAAAGATGCTTTGTAAGATTTGCAGAAAGGGCATACGGTGAAGCGTTCTAATTTAACGGCAGCAAAAGAGAGACTCTGTTTTCTTTTCTTTTCATCATTAAAACCATACCCCAGGATAACAGTGGACATTTCGATCCAAATATGTCTACACGTCCACCAAACACCATGCAGATCGACAGGCAGAGCAAGTAAAATCTGCCACGGCCCATGACTCTTGCAAAACTGGAAAACAGAAACACTACACACTCTGATTTTCATATATAAGTAGGCAGAAAACCACTGAAAGCAGCAGTGAAAGATCCAAAACTTGCGTCAGGGCAAAGAATCAGGGGAAGAGTGTGTGATAAAGAAGAAAGTGTGAAGGGATTCCAGGTCGTGGGAGAAACCAGATTACGTCACCAACAGAAAGAGAGAGACCCATCCTGAGTGGGAAAATACAGAGAATAGGTCTGACACCTGAGGAATCAGACCTCTGGTACTGGGCTTGAAAGTGTGCAGGGCAGGGTCAGAGACAGTCCCGCTCAGAAGGTAGCCCTTCTGGGAAAGAGGAGGTGACAGGGGAGGGAAAAGCATCTCCTGGAGGCTTGGTGTTTCTATCAGGGGGCGGGAGAAGGGAGAAAGCAGTGGGCAGTTGGGGTTCTGGGCAAATGAAAAGCACTCCAATGGAATGACATGCTATTTCACTAGGATGGATTACCAAGCACATTCTAAGCAAATGAAGAGAAAATATTCCAGATGAAACAAGAGCGTATAAATGCTCAGAGGTGCTCTCCTGTGCTATTCATACCGCAAACCTTGCTTTATAACGTTGATGAGTAATCCTGCTTTCTTTTCCTTCCACAATTCCTGGGATAGTAGACATTCAACAGGTGATCCTAAATGTTGACACACAGTTGAAGTATTCATGCAATAATTGTCGTCACTTCAAATCAAAGGGACAGCAAGTATAAGGAAGCCCATTTATAATCCTCTGGGTTGTTTGTCTGTTTGGTCATTTACGAGAAGACGGACACTTTGAAGAGAGGATAAGCAACACCCCTAAGATCACAGGGCCAATGAGACTGACCTTTCGATCTCTGAACAAAATGGTCCGCCGCGTTACGACCCAAATCACCGTTTTCTGTAGTGATGACCTCAGAACTCTGCTGATAAAGAGAGTAAAACACTTTGGACTGAAGTTCTTTCCCTCTTAAAAAAAAAAAAAAAAAAAAAAAAACAGCTTCCAAATCCTGCCACAGACCTTGATCCAAAATTAAAGAGAAGAAGGAGACCCAGTGTACCTGGAGTATTTTTTGAAGACATTTCTGCTTATTTCTAGCCACCTCCACCACCTCCAAAAGCAAATTCATCTGAAAAATTATGAGAACAAAAAAGAACTGGCAGGTTATTCAAACTGCTCCTGGATACATACTGCCTAGAATTCTGCGTTCTTTTAACAGATGTTTGACTTCTAGAAAGTTTTATTTTGCAGAGATCTTGGATTCCAGCTCACTTTTATATACATATCACCTGTGAGCCAGCTGTTAGATAAGCCTGGAACTTACGGGTGGTTTCACCACCTGCCATTACTCAGACCGAAATGCAGATGATTTTCTGCAGACTCAGCTGAGAGAATGAGGGGGAAAGTCTTTTTTTTGACTCCTGGTTCCCTATCAATCGCTTCATGAATAAAAGAACAAGGCAGCCATCAGCAACCAGCTGGCTAGAGTGACAAGTCATCAAACGGGCCGTGGGTCAAAAGAACGATGGGAGTGACCTGCTGGTCTCCAACGTCTGAGACATGAGAAAATGGCTGTAACTGGTGGTGGGAATAAGTTGAAAACAGCAAGTTATTAGCTACCTGAAATGTGGAGGCACTGAATGGATTAGAGGTAAAAAGCAAAATCTCCCCTGTCAACTACTGAGCGAAAGAAGAAACCATAAAAGGAAAGACAACGAGAAGAAGAAGGTCTAACACGCATTGCTTACTTACTAGATACGAGACATGATGACGATTCTTTATGTGCATTATCTCACTTAATCATTATGTTGATTTTTATAGGAAAGATACTATTATTTTCCAAACTTACAGATAGGAAAGTTAAGGCTCAGAAAGGTAAGACAGTTTGTCCAAAATTAGAGCTGAGACTCAAGTCCAGGACTTCCTGACAGGATAGTCCAGAATCTTCACTCCTATATATTAAGAAAGAAAAAGCAATAAAAAAAAAACCCTAAAAATAAAGTTATAAGACCAGTTGGAGAAAATATTGAAAATACTTGTGACTGAAATATAGTTAATATCCTTAATACAAAAATAGCCTTCAAAAACCCATAAGGAAAAGATAAAATCATCAAAATAAAAGATAAGCTAAGGGCCAAGGAAAAATAAAACACAAAAATAAGAAACAAGCATGAAAAAATAGTGACTGCATTAGTTTCCTGCAACCTTACTGGCCTAAAAGAAGCACACGTTTCTGCTGTTACGGGGAAGTTCTGGAGGTCAGAACCCTGAAGCAGGTCCACGGGACCGTGCTGCTTCTGGAAGCCTCCGGGGCCCCGTCCTCGCCTTCAGCAGCTTCTGGAGGCCACCCTCCTCGCCTACTCATGGACCCTCCCCCATCGTCACAGCCAGCAGATGCCCCTCCCCGCTGAGCTCTGCTCCATCCTCACATTTTCTTTCTAGGACTTTGACCCTCCTGCCTCCTTCTTCCAAGGACATCTGACTGGCATCAGGCCAACCAGACCATCCGGCACAACCTCCTCATCTCAGAATCGTTAACTGAGCTGTATCTGCAAAGTCTCATTTACCATATAACGCAACAGGTTCAGGGGTGCTTAGGACATGGGGATTAGCACATGGACAATCTGGGGTGGGGGGGGTAGGGCAGGAATCAGCCTGCCACAGTAGTAACCAAAAATTTAATTTTAAACAACAACAAAGAGGGTTGCCCTGGTGGCGCAGTGGTTAAGAATCCGCCTGCCAACGCAGGGGACACGGGTTTGAGCCCTGGTCTGGGAAGATCCCACACGCCAGGGAGCAACTAAGCCCGTGTGCCACAACTACTAAGCCTGTGCTCTAGAGCCCGTGAGCCACAACTACTGAAGCCCACGTGCCACAGCTACTGAAGCCCGCAGGCCTAGCGCCCGTGCTCCACAACAAGAGAAGCCACCGCAATGAGAAGCCCACACACCGCAAGGAAGAGTAGCCCCCGCTCGCCGCAACTAGAGAAAGCCCTCGTGCAGCAACAAAGACCCAACGCGGCCAAAAATAAATAAATAAATAAAATAAATAAATCTATTTAAAAAAAAAAAGGCTTCAGCCACATGTTCTTGGATCCAAATCTTCTTATTAGTTGGGGCTCACAGTGGAAGGACTTTGCAGAGGAGCAGATAAAAATCTTTAAATCAGAAACCCTCACTCTGGGGGGAGAACTGCCACCATACAGACTTATGTTGTTCTGATCTCCACTGCAGGCTCTTCCTGAGTGTACACCCTCGGCCAAGATCGCAGACTCATAGGACGTTGGTGGGAAAAGACTTTGGTAAACATCTAGCCCAGCACTTTCTTCTTGCTGCCAAAATGTTGTGCCTTGAATTCCTGTCCTCATGCCACTTCAAGTGGTTTGAGATTGTTTTTGATTCTGTGCAAAAGTTCGGGAGACCTCAGGGACAGGCTGCCTGGAGACCTGGAGTTGCTGGCGAAGACTGTGCCCAGGCCAGCTGCCGGCGGGCAGGTTAGGATCATCCCTTCCCAACTGCTAGCGACAGCCGCAGGCATACACGCAAGCCCCGCCCCTGCGCCTCAGCTTTCCCACTCAGACTGCGAGGGTGCGGAGTCATGCCGCTTCGGAAGTTCTCCCTAGCTCTGCAACTTCACCATTTGCCAGGCTTCGTCCCCACCTCCGTTTTAAGCAGAGTTTTCTTTCCTACACAAAGCGAATCTCCGTTCCAGATGTGTGGTGTGTTGGAAAGAACAGAAGATCTGGAAATAGAAAGATGTACGTTTCACTCCTGCTCTCCATTTTCGATGGGTATGATATCTAAGCCCCCTGCTTCATTTCCTTGTCTGTAAAATGGGATAATAATATTGTAGGAAACAAATGGCACAAAACGTCCTTGGTGCAGTATGAGACACGTAGTTAAGTGCTAAATAAATACAGTTTATTATAATTAGTGTTGTGGACAAAGTATCCAAAGTTACAAGCTTCCCCTCCTGCTACGCGAAGTCTTATTTTTCTTCTAGGCTATCTTTAACATCTAAAAACTCTAAGATAAACCATTTTAGGTGATCATTTTATTTCCAACTTTAGGAGATCCTCCCTTGGTCCACTTAGAAGAGCAACAGACCTGACCTCTGCCTACGAATTGCAAACCAGCAGCATCTGAGTACACAACCAGCACCCTGGAGTTTTACAATTCCCCCCCGCCCCAACTCACTGGCAGGACACTTCATACAGACTGGCCCCTTTTAAGTGACCTTAAATTCCATGCACACTGTTTCCAGCATTCATCATTCTCTGCACTATTTGCATAGTCCAGATTTGCAAACTGCAAGTTGTAGTCCAACTTGCAAATTGTCCCTCAAGGGAACAAGGGCATTTACAAAACAGGGACAAACCTTGCAGAGAGGCTTGAGAATGGCTTACCTACCTTAGACCTCCGAAAAGGTGTGGGTCAACTGCTTGCTTCCTGTAGCCTACAAGTGTAAGTCGTGGTGAGCTTCAAAGTGTAATTCTTATTCTGAGCTACATCTAACATTACACTCAAGAACAAGACCTGGCTCACACCAGCGAAGCAGAAGAGCGTGAGGCCCAGAGGATGCAGAAACAGTTACGACTGCACTAGGCTGCAGGGGAACAGGCCCGGAAAGCCCATATGACAGTCACAGAAATTCCCCCACTGCCATTCCGACAAGGCTGAGAGCAGGATACTATCAAACCCGAGGGGGAGGTCTCTCTGTTTATCTGTCATGACTCTTCCCAATTTGGTGGTCTCCCAGAGAAAGAAGCTTCCAATAAACAGAAGCTTAGGACTCTCAGAAGATGATCCTCACTTATCCAGCAGGTCACGTGACAGCCCCAAGGTCACAGCCCCATCAAGAGAACAAGCACAGACGGTGCTCCTGGGCGGAGGATGATTACAACGCCACAGAGTGAAGTAGTGTGGCCTTTTCACTGGGACAGAATTAGCTGTAGGAACCTGGGCTGCATTCCTATTAAAGATGCTAACCTGCTCCTACCTTTGCAAAGCCCGAGTAACATTCTCTGTGTTGCTGACTTCTAATGACGATTTTGCATCCCTGCCCTAGAGCACCTGCTTTGCACCTGTGCCAGCTGTAACCCACACCTGCGCTGACTACATCAATGGCCCAACTCCTGCCGGTAAACCTAACTCACGCTGATTTCCACCCTTCCCACCAGGCCTCTGTCTGGTGAGCAGTACGCTCCTCCCTCCTACATCTCAGTTTTTGCTGTCCCGGTACCACCACACAGCCCAAGGGATGCGAGTCCAAAGCCAACATTTCTTCTGCCATTGAGTTCAGATAAAGCAAAATGCACTAATTAGATCGTATTCCAAACACCAGTTTTCATGCTTTATGATAGATTTAGGACTCCTGGAAGAGAAGCTAATGATAACAGCAGGTCACGCCAAGGAAGGGCCGTCCGTGGGGATGGACTCCTGCCCACGGGCGCTGCCAGACACTGAGGGTGCACAACACACCCTCACCTCGTCTCCCAAGATGTCCATCTCAGTCCTGACCCTCAACACATCTGGCTGGGACCCGACGGCCCTGAGCTTTCTGAGAACAGCAATCAGGAGAAGGGAACAATTTGTCCAACAGCTCCGTGGCAGGCAAGGGTTTTTGCCTTTGGCAACTTCCTTAGATGGTTGAAAGATTTAAAGATTTTTCAACCCGAGTGTGCGGCTCTGACTTCCCCACTTTCTCGGAATCCCCTTCTCAACAGCCTGATCTCTGGTTTCCATCCCCCAGCACTCCAATAACACTGCCCTTTCCAAGGCCATCCACAGCCTCATTCTGAATAAATCTCAAGGCGATTTTTCTGTTCTCGTCCTCCTTCTCCACACCCTCTTTCTTGAAAGTCTCTCCTGTCTTCCCTTGCAAAGTGTGGGCTCTTTTCTCTTGAGTTGCCTCCTTCCTGCCAACTTTTCCTCTGCACGCTATCCTTCTCTGACACTGCTGAGCTGTGCTTGTCCCCCTAAGCGTTAACCTTCTCCTTCTCCTTCTTATTCTTCCCCTTCTCCTTCGTCTTCTGTTTCTATATACACACACACCCAGCAATCAGCTGCAAAACCACTTAGAACTCCCCGGGGAGCTTTTATCCCCAGCTGCAAACGCTCCGGGCACCGGCGGAGCCCTCTGTGCTTTGGCCACCAGGCTAAAACCCTTACCTGCCCACACTCAGGACAGGGCAAACCCTGACAAAAATAAAATGCCTTTTGCTTGGAGATGAGTGATCCCACCTCTATAACGCTGCCTCTTTGAACCCCCAAATCAATGTTTGGTTTCAAAACTGAAGTTCAGAGCCTGGTTGATGTGAAATTCACTTCCCGTCCTTGAGACTCTGCAGACTAAAATCGATGCTGACCTCGACTTGTTTCCTTCAAAGCCCCTTCCAAATTGTTGGCCTCGGTCCCATCTTCTTCTACTTCTTAACATTAAACTTGGCACCTCCGTCTTAACGTGACAGCGCTCACAGCCTCTTTCCAATCTAGTTCACCTTTACTCCATCACCCAGGGGCAAAAAAGATGCCTGAAACAGAGCCCTACTTCTCGCTGAGGGGCAAGGTAGGCTGAGCTTGCGCAGAATTTACAGACTGTGGTCAGGGTTAGGAAGGAGAGCTCCACATGCAGCGTGAGGGGGTCACAGGCCTAGCTGACCACCTCGGAGGTTGAGGGGAGAGGGCGCCCACAGGCTGGGGCCCGGAGGGCAAGGAGCAGCCCACCCCCAACGGAGCCCAGTGGGAAGAGCCTTCCAGGAGGCAAGCCTGGGATGGGCAGCCGCCCTGCAACCAGAGGAGTCATGATGCATGTGGCGGTCAGGGGAAAAGGCCAGCATGACCGGACTGCAGAGAACAGCTCTGGCCTCAGACGTGAGACTGGAGTCAGATCAAGTAGGGCTTTACAAACCATGCTGAGAAGACTGATTTATTTTATTTCCCCCCATAAAAGGATATTACTCAATTACTTTAATCTTATTTTAAAATTTTTACTGGAGTATAGTTGATTTACAATGCTGTGTTGGTTTCAGGTGTACAGCCAAGTGATTCAATCATACATAGACCTGTAGCCACTCTTTTTTAGGTTCTTTTCCTGTGCAGGTCATCACAGAGTAATGTACGTACAGTAGGTCTCTATTAGTTACCTACTTATATATAGTAGTGTACGTGTATGTCGATCCCAATCTCCCAGTTTATCCCTTCCGCCCCCCTTAACCCCTGGTAACCATAGTTTATTTTCTACATCTTCAATTACTTTAATCCTGACATGACCAGAATTGCCATGCATGCAGCACACACTGAGGCCTGGGTTGGGGGAGGTGCAGGAAAACCGGTTAAGAAGCCTGAGACGCCTACGGCAGTGACTCCTTAAAGGAGCTCAGAGTTAGTGGGAAAAATTGTTACCAAATCAGTCGAGCAAGACTTTGCACCTCTCCCCTTACCTGGAAAGATTAAACCTCTAGTAACTGGAATCAAGAGCTCCAAGTTTAGCTCTTTTGCATATTCCCCTGGTGATTTTCACCAAAAATGCCTTCCTAAAGATTCCTACGGAAATATTAAAACATAATTACACAGTAATCCTAAAAGACAAGGCTATACATACATGTGATATTGCTGCTGCCGGAGCTGACCTTTCAAGTTGTAGCCTGCACCAGGGAGTGTAACAGATTTAGGGAAACCGTGTGAAAAAGGCAGCCTGCAAACTCTTGTGTCTGTGTTCTCATGAGATGCAAACACAACAACAATGGTTGCCACACCTGAGTAAGCAACGTGGGGAAACAGCCAAACAGGAGGGGTAGCAACGTGGAGAGGGTGCTACAACCAGTTCACCCAGGGCCACGGAAGATGGGCTGCTCACCGGCTCAGGGGCGCAGCTTGTTTCAGGCTCCACCAAGCACAGGCACTGAACAGCAAAGTCAGAAGGATTAAGTGACTCTGCCGCCTGCGTGTGTGCTGGCCCTATAGCTGGGTCTAGAAGATGCCAACTGGCACTCAGGCCGAAACTCCCTTCTTAAGGAGAAACCAGCACTCCCCTTGCTCAGACCAGAATTTCTCCTTCTGGTTTAACCCCTCCTAGAAAACCATCCTTGGCTTTGCAAACCTATGTAAAAACACAGCCCCCGCTCCCTGGCTCTCCTGCCCTCCCCAACACGCATCTGCAAACCCCTCCTAGGCACAAATGCAAGACAGTTGCCAGTCGTCCTTCTGGGGATTCGTAGGGCAACCAGCCAACTGGCCGCCAGCAGGTTATTCACGCTGCAATAGGAACCAAATTTCTTGCTGCAATTATCCTTAAATTTCGACTATTTACCCCAGGAATAAACTAATTGCTGCTGTAAAACACCCTTTCCCACACTGTCCAGCACACATCTGTAAATTCCAAGAGGGATGGGTGTGAGCTGGCTGCCAGTCGGCCTCTGGAAAGGAATATGGCGGCTGGCCAACTGGAAGCCAGTTTATTATTCACGGCGGAAGAGAACTTGAACTTCTTATTGCAAATACCCCACATGCTTCGGTGTTTACCTTTGAACTACACAACTTGGACCTTAATTTGTAATAAGCCCGTGTGTACTGCTGGCTGTGGACTGGTGGCAAAGGCATAGGGAAGGGAAGACAATATCGTATCTCAAATATTTACTGAATACCTGTGAAACGCCAGGTGGCATGTTGGTTGCTGACAATTGTACATGGGAGTTCTATATTCTTAGAGGAATTCACAGAACGGGGGTAAAATCCATTCTCTCCATTGCCGCCAACTATTAAACCTGTAAGTGCAGGTTTTGCTCCAAACACCCTTTCAACTTCTCTTCCTTACGTTTTCATCATCAAGACTGGAGGTCTTACCAGGGTTTTACAAGGTGTATGACAAGAGCATCTTCTGACGTAGCTCACCTTCAGAAGGTCTGTGCTTTTGTGCCTTTGAACAAACTATTGTTTCTGCCTAAAACCTCTCTCTCCTGCTTCTCCGAGTGTGAAAAGCATACAAATCTCTGACGACCCAACCCAAGTGTGGGAGGTGGAGAGAGACACAAGCATCCTGGAAGGATACAGTAGACAACCTCACAGGAAAGGACCAAAACGAGCCCAGGGTTGTGAAGATGGGAACCGGGAAGCCTATAGGGACCAACACTTTCAATACGTCTTTCCAGTATCGTAAGCTACCGTTCGTCCTCTGCTGCTTTTTTAAAAAAATTTTTATTGGAGTACAGTTGATTTACAATGTTGTGTTAGTTTCTCTGTACAAGCAAAGTGAATCAGTTATACGTAGACATATATCCACTCTTTTTTAGCTTCTTTTCCCATATGGGCCATTACAGAGTACTGAGAAGAGGCCCCTGTGCTCTACGCTATGCGACAGGTCCTTGTTAGCTATCTGTTTTATATATAGCAGTGTGTGTATGTCAATCCCAGTCTCCCAGTTTGGCCTTTCCCCTGACTTTCCCCCTGGTAACTGTAAGTCTGTTTTCTATGTCTGTGACTATTTCTGTTTTGTAAATAAGTTCATTTGTACCATTTTTTTTAGATTCCACATATAAGCTCTGCTTCTCTCGGCCTCTTTTCCGGCTCTTCCTTTAGACGACCGGCTTCTTCTGCTTGCCGTGTCCAGCGTAAATAGTAGCACCACGGCCGTATCACCTTGAAGGTCCAGGGCTCATCATCGGTGATTACACTCTCTGTGTTGCTTAAATACTTTAAGGGAGATTCTAAGACACCGCTGATGTATAGTGGACTGACCCTCCTTGGGTCAAGGGCCCCACCCTGGATGCTCAGCTGTAGCTGGAAGACCGGGTTCCACGGTAGGAACACCTAGTCCTACCACTTCAGTGAAGCCACGGACAGGTTCATGGAAGGTTTTGTGAGCAACGCAACCAAACGGTCTGTTATGTAACTGGCCACATCCCCGTGGTCACAAGTGGCTGTGTCCGCCCCCCACGCACACTCCCCAATCCATTAGGCTACACAGGCCCCCCCAGGACCACGTTAACTTCCTGCCTCGTTATCCCTTGGCTTCGGCTCCGGCAAATATATAGGCTTTCAATGTTTGTTGAGTAAGCCTTTTAAAAATATAAACTGGATTATGTCACTCCCTCACTTAAAAACTTCAGCGGCTTCCCACTGTATCTAAAATAAACCCAAATTTCCTTTCGTGAGCTCAGAGGCCCAAAGGGGACGAGGCCCTCCTCTGTCTCCATGTCAGTCAGGTGCCTCTCACCTCTTCCTTCTCAGTGCTCGGGCTTTTCCTTTATTCCCTCTAACACATCACAATCCTGCCAGGCTCAGGCCCTTGACAAGTCCTGTTCCCTGTCTGGAATGTTCTCTGGTTCTTCACGCAGCTGGCGCCTTCCCATTCCTGCTTCGGAATCCAGCTGAAATGTTACCTCATCAGAGAAGCCTTTCCTGACCAGCCAGTCCAACAACATGCTCCCTCACTCTGCTCCGTGGGGTGTGCTCATAGCATGGACCGCAACTTGGGATCGTCGGCGAGTCGGCCTGTTCCCTTCTCTGCCGTCTTTACCCCGGGTGGGCTGCGAGCTCTGCAGAGTTACACAGGTCTCCTGCCTTCCTGCCCATACAGACGGGGCCTGATACGGTGCCTGGCAAGCAACCAATGTTTGTGGGTGGACGAATGTATCAGAAGATAAAGATTCAAATTCTGGCTTGATCACTGACAGTCATCTTGGGCAAAATACTTCTTTCTTTTCTTCCTTTTTCAAATTTTTTATTTTAATTTATGGCTTTTATTGAAGTATAGTTGATTTACAATGTTGTGTTCATGTCTGCTGTTCTCCTTTCTAAGTGTCCGTTTCCTCTTCAACAAAATCAGGAGACTCCAGAATTATTCTGATTCACTGAAAACTACTCAAGCCTCCCTCTCTGAGACGCCTTCCCTAATTAACCCATCTCATTCTGACGCTGAATGCCTACGCTGAAATACTATTTTGCAGCTATTTTATGGTTATTGTAAGGTCTTTGGAGACAGGAAGCAATGGTTCTTGGAAAAGGAGAGAATTCTGGGTCACCTGGAATTTTTGAGACTCCTGAAATATCTTCAAAGAAGGTAGAAATTCCTAAATATGTTTACAAAAAGTATGATACAATATTAATGCTTACGTTGAACGCATTCATGTTTTAAACACAAACGTACGATGCAATGTAGCTATGCTATGTGTAGAAAACTGTCCACACTTCCTTCGACAAAAACATTACTCAGGTGCTTACTGACTGTCAATTACGAGCATTAAAGACCACTATCCACCTGCTGTCACATTTAATATGACAAATCCTGCAGGACAGCCTGTTATTTCAGGGATCCCAGTGAACCCTGCTTTCCAGTATTTACACCCTGTGAGTCTCCACACACACTGAGGCTGAGCTTGGCCACGGGACCAGCTTTGGCCAGTAAGACTTTAGCAGGAATTATGCAGGGGCGCTCCCACATCGGGGGTCGTCCTGGGGCTTGTCCTCGTGAGCTGCTCCTCCATGGAACCCATACACCATGATTCGAGGAGGCCCACCTGGTGGAGAATCCAGGCCCTGGTCCTAGCAGAGCTCTCAGGCAGCAGCCCGCAGCACTTACTAACCACGTGAGTGAGGACATTTCGACCTTCCACACACCCCATGAAGCAGAACTGCCTATCAACCAACCAAGAGAATCAGGAGGAAAAAAAAATAATTCATTGTTGTTTTAGGCCACCACATTTGGAGGTGGTTTGCTACTGAGCAATCAGATAACAGAAACACCCTGAAAAGTAGATATCATCTCATTTGCACAGAGGAGTCAGAAGTGGCAAGTGACCAAACTCACATCACTGTTGTGATTCTCATCTTTACTGACCACCTTCTCTGGAGGAAAGCAAGTTAATCTTCAAAACAGCCAATATGTCAACAGGTCCTACTAAAGAAGAGCCTCTGTGCGGACCATCTGACCCGGTTCCCTCCACCCCAAAGCCATAGACAATTGAAAGCAGTTGGCAACGAACTCAAAAACAGCCAAATCACCAACTGACCTACAGCCTCCACTACGGCTTCGCAACGGCATGAAAAGCCATGCTGAACCCACCAGGCTCCCTGTCTCAAGAGCTCTAACTAAACAGACGGGATGCCTACGGCAGCTGAGCAGCAGAAACTGAAGCCAACATGGTAGCACGAGTCAGCATACGACAGATCATAACACACCAAAGCTATGAGAAAACATAAAATCAAATGAACAAGCATAAGCTATAAAGTAGAAAAAATAACAGTGTTCAGGTAAATAACTTCTTCGTAGACATTCAGAAGCAGAAGCGGGCAGAGGAAACAGTCCAAAGCAGCAGAAACAGGAAAACGTGCTACGTGTTGGCATCTCCACACGGCTCCCAAGAACTGCCTGGTTTCCTGATGGTTTTCCAGTTGTGATTTTTAAAAGGTTATGGTCTTATAATAAACTGATCTTTTCTTAAAGTAAGCTGAGTAATTTTCTATTCCCTGCAGCCTTGACAATCACACTAAAACAAATTTCAAACAGGAAATAATTCCCACTATGGAAAATTCACCTAAGAAAGATTATGATTTTTCTAGTTCCTTTTAACGAGGGTTTAATTTCCAATAAGCAGGTTCCCAGGATTATTAGGTGGGGGCAATAAAGGGGAAAAAACCTGGGAAAACTTCATTTCCCGTGACAGCTTTCTACCCAGAATGACTTTATGCGGGACCCAGTAACTTGACTTATCCTCATTATTAGACTGTCAAAATGCTGGATTTCAAGTGTAAGGGCCCAGTGCCTTCTTCAGACACTTGGATCCAATAACTTTCCATTTGATCCAATTTTCCTTGTGCATGAGTGTGCATTGCACACATGGTAACTCACTACCAAAAATTTGTATCACTCATGAGCAGCTATATCTAACCTTACAAGTCTGGAAGGGAAAATGAATAGTCAAGGGGGGACGGGAGAGATCAGAGCTGCAAGAGAGATTAATCCTACAAATAAATTTTTATATTAAACCTGACTTTGATTAGATGATTTGAACCCTCAGAACAATTTTCTTTGTTTTTTCTTTGTCAGATTTATGAAGTTCTCCCCTTTTAAAAAAAAATGTGTATATTGCTGAAAGACTGTAAAATTTAATAGCAAACAGATTACACACTTAGGAATAGACTAAGCACAATTAGCGCCCACATTCCTCCCGCTCCTATAAATAACTTGGTTTTCTTTCCATGTCTGCAAATTTCATTAGAGTGGTGGAAAAAAAGGTGGGGAGAGGAAGAAGGAAAAAAGAAAAGCCTTCTGACTCTCTCTCACTGCAAAGTATAGATCCAATCACTCAATCAGGGGCTTTGTACTACGTAGGAAGGGGAAAATAACTCTCCCACCTTCCCCAATATATACCACTAGCTCTGGAAAGAAAACTTTTCTACATACGGATTTGAAATTCACCTGCTAAAAAAAAATACACATATGTTGGCTATTCTAGCAAGCAACCTGCTTCGTGGGCTCTTCCACAACAGTCTTCACTGATCTGAGAACGACGGTTTTGTCCTTCCCATAATTTTAAGCTGTATATATGTACTTTGGACAAGCTACCTAATTTAGCAGTAACTGTTAATCATATCTGTGAAAAGAAAAAAAAACCACTCTAACTTATTTATTAGAAGCTAAAAACAAGTATTAGTGGGAGGAGGAAACTTGGAAAGAGTCAAAGTCTGGAAGCATGGGATACACGAGTCCCTTCCGAGCCTCTGAAGTTCCCTTCTGCTCCCCAATCCTCTCCAGGGAAAGGTCTATGCCGAAACGTATTTGGCACATATTTGGAACACACTGGGTTTATGTTCAGTTCTTGGATGGGGTCTATTTATATAAAGTGAGGGGAAGAATTTGTATCATGTGAAGGAAAAAACATTCTTTTATCACGATCTGAATATTTCAAAGCACTTGGGTAAAAGTTATTGATCTAAAACTGTGTGAGAACTTGGACTTAATCTTAAAATTCTAAGCTGGTTACTAGCAGCTCCCAAAAAACCAAGCCAGTCCCTAATAAAATCTGTAGGGATTGATTTCATGGAGTGGGCCCTTTTTTTAAACAGTAAACATGACACAAAACACTAAGAAGAACTGAGATAAAAAGCAAGAATTTCTTGATGCTTTCATGCCTTGATTAGAGATATTTGATTCCAAAGAACAGAAACCCATTTTAATAAGCTCAACTAAAGAAGAAGTCATTGCTAACACATATTCTGTAAGGGGTTAATAACCAGAGTATATAAAGAAACCCTACAAACAACCACAGTAAAGCGAACAACCTGATTTTAAAATGGGCAAAGGACTTGAACACGTATTTCTCCAAAGAAGATACACAAATGGCCAACAAGCACATGAAAGGTACTCAACATGACTAATCATTAGGGAAATGCAAATCAAAACCACAATGAGATCCCACTTCATACCGATTAAGATGGCTAGTGCCAAACAAACAAAAAGACAGAAAATAAGTGTTGGCAAAGGATGCGGAGAAATCAGAAGCCCTGTGCATCACTGACCGGAGAGAATGTAAAATGGTGCCGTCCTTGTAGAAAACAGTACGGTGTTTCCTTAAAAAAAATTGAAAATAGAATTAGCATGTGGTCTGGTAACTTCACTTCTGGATATATTCCCCAAAGAACTGAAAGCAAGACCTCAAAGAGACATTTGTACACCCATTCCCATAGCATCATTACTCCAAAAGGTGGAAGCAACCCTAGTGTCCATCGGTGGATGAATGGATAAAGAAAGTGTGGTACATACGTACAATGGAATACCATTCAGCCTTAAAAAAAAGACAACATTCTCATCACATGCTATCACATAGATGAATCTTGAGAACAGTATACTAAGTGAAATAAGCCAGTCACAAAAAGGCGAATACCGTATGATTCCACTCACATGAGGCATGTAAAGTAAGCAAATTCACAGAGATGGAAAGTCGAAGGGTGTTTGCCAAGAGCTGGTAGAAGGAGAGGGTGGAGAGTTGTTTTTTAATGGGTATGGAATTTCAGTTTTGCAAGACAGAGTTCTGGAGATGTGTGGCGCTGGTGGTGGTAACACAACAACATGAATGCACCCAGCACTACTCAACCGTACACTGAAAATGACTAAGAAGGTAAATTTTATGTGTGCTTAACCAAAATTAGACTTTTAATTTTTAAAAGAGGTCATTAGTATAATGCTAATGGGAATATTTTATATGACCCACTTTCTATGAAGTAGCGCCAGACCCCTCATGAGAGTTCAAAAAATCATTAGGTGGCTCCTCCTCCATATATCTGTCTGTCTGTCCGTCTCTCTTTTTCAATGTCTCTCACTATTCTCTTCTTGATCTTCTCTGTTTCTGCTCTGTGGCAGACAGATGCTAAGAAAGTCTCCAGTAATCTGTTTTCTGGTACTCACATCCTTGCACAAGCCAGCTTTTGCTCAGTAATGCTGAGTAACAAACATCCCCATCACCAAATCCCTTTAGTGTGGACAGGACCCATGACTTACTCCTAACCAATGGAATATTGCAAAGGTGATGGTATGTCACTTCTGTGATTACATTACATTATATTGTAACTTGTGTCTTGCTGGCGGACTCCCCCTTGGTGGCTTGGATGAAGCAAGCTGCCATGTTGTAAGCTGCCCTGTGGAGAAACCCACATGACAAGGAACTGAGGCCCAAAGGCAAGGGCAAACCAGGAAATGAATCCTGTCAACAGCTATGTAAGTAAGCTTGGGAGTGGACCATTCCCAGAGGAGTCCTCAGATCAGACCTCAGTGCCAGCTGACACTTGAATACAGCCTTGTGAGAGACCGTGAGTCAAAGAAGCCACTTAGCCCATGCCCAGATTCCTAACCCATTGAAAATCTGAGATAATAAATGTGCATCGTTGTGAAGTAAGTCAGAAAGAGAAAAACAAATATCGTATATTAGCGCATATATGTGGAACCTAGAAAAATGGTACAGAGGAACCAGTCTGCAGGGCAGAAATAGAGACACAGATATAGAGAACAAACGTATGGACACCAAGGGGGGAAAGTGGAAGGGTACAGTGGTGGTGGGATGAATTGGGAGATTGGGATTGACATATATGCACTAATATGTATAAAATGGGTAACTAATAAGAACCTGCTGTATAAAAAATAAATAAAATTCTAAAATTCAAAAAAATCAAAAATAAAATAAAAATCCGAGCTCAACTCCAAAATCAATCAATCAATCAATGAATCAATGTATATTGTTTTAAGCCACAAATTTGATGATAACTTGCCGTAAGGCAATATATAACTAATACACGTTCTGTTCTACTCTACAGAAGAGCCTTTTCTACAAGGATTTTCGCTTTTATATTTACCTAAAATGCAATCTGCACCTGGCCACGGCACTGACCCTAGCTCCCAACCTGCTCCTCAGAGGCAACCCCACTGGTCTCTGGATCTCAGGTCCTAGTTCCTAGGAGCATCCAACTAGCCAGCTATGATGAAAGTTATTCATTCTAGAAGATGGGCACCTGCTGCTAACAGGTTTGCATCCCATCTGTCATCAGGACCATAGTGGAAGGTAGACTTCTTTTAAAGGCAGAGTGGCCAGGAGACCATGACCAGTGTCTTGAGCACATCATACTTGTCCTCTCCCTGTTTTCTCTTTTCTTTCTTTTGAAAAGAAGTTGAAAACTGGATAATTATCAAAGTTGCCCTGAGACTTCAGAATTCTTCCCCATGGATGAAAGAAATAGTGTAAGTAATAATAACAATATTCACATTATCTAAGCTTTGCAACCAACTAAATAAATAAAACTAAATAAACTGTATAATCAATATCCAAATTGCCTAATCTTGCAACTAAAATCTAACTTTTTATATATTTATATATTATAGCAGACTTCACAGATACCTGAAATGAAATTAGCACCCAAGGCAAATTTTCTTATTTAGAAAACTTAACTAAATGGCGAAATATTCACAGTATGGTCAGTTCAGCTTCAATTAGAATACTTGTTTGTAACATTCACCCCAAACTTTATTTTCCTAGGCATAAACACCAAAAACTCATCCAATAATCCCCCATATCACCAGTTTTTTCTTTGTGCGTATTTTGGTTACATGCCTAAAATACTTTTCAAAAGAAGTCTTTATTTATAAAATAAAGGGAGAAAAGTTCTTCTCTTTCTCTAAAGGCCTATTTTGCAATCAACAGAAGATGAGGGGATATTTTGGAAACGTAACCAGCGCGGAGGGAAAACTGAAATGCTTGGGACCTTGGGCTTTTGCCTAAATGCTTTTTTTTTTTCAGTCTTTTTATTTATTTTTTTTTATTGAGGTACACTTGATTTCCACTGTTGTGCCAGTCTCTGCTGTCCAGCAACGTGACTCCGTTACACACATATAGACATCCTTTTTTAAATATTCTTTTCCAATAGGGTTTTTTAAGCTGCTCCTGAGCG